AAGGAGGGGGCTTTGTAGAAAACGAAGCGTTTGAGAGAGGCGGGGCATAGAGGACCTACAATAATGTACAGTATTTGAAAAATAATGTGTTTTTTGAACATTAAAGCATGTCAACATATTCTGTTACACCAAATACACAAAATAATGATATTTAAAAAAGCATCATATGACCCCTTTAAACCGCATAAACACATTTCATTACACCAAATACACAAAATTATGTTCTTTTTAGCAACATCATATGACCCCTTTAAGTTACAAATGATCGATGTTGATTTTATACTCCTGTACTCCAGGCTCAAGCTATCCCATTCATATGAGCCCAGCAGTTCATTGGTCATTATAGAATGGATTCATGCAGAGCCACCAATCGGAGTGAGAATTGTTGATTACCTAATCAGTCAAGAGAAGGTGACAGAGCGGACTGATCACTCCAAAGTTGAGACAGGTAGGTAAATTATGAAATGAGCTTATACAAAACATTTGAGATATATAATATCCACGTATAACTGTCTGCCTCTGCTGTATTCTACAATAAAGGCTAAAAGACCAAAAAGAGAAAAAACACTTAATGCCCATTTATTTGGGAAGTAGCTGTGTAATAAGCGGGATAATATACATTCAGCCAGTCATTATCGCAAATTAAACCCCTTCAGGGTGAAACAAGATCCCTCTGCCTCACGCTGGGGTCTTGATCATCCTGCCAGGGTTTAGTTTGTGATAAAGGAAACTGACTGCACATGAATATATGAAATCTAAATTCATTTTAATTGAATTTCCCAGCACTAAGACTGAACCACAAAATGAAATAATGTGGCTGTATTTTATGTTGAAAATAATGAAACAATGCAATAAAAATGCATTCATATTTTCTAAAGATATTCAGAGGCTTTGATTGTGCAAGGAAATCCCCAATACAGTTGCCCTATAATTTATCTCTACCTGTGAATTAAAAATAACCACCACAATTTATGGCTAAAAGCCCTGCAGTTAAGGGTTGTAAATCTGAGGGACTGCTGTTAAAATGAAGATTAAGGACCATTCCAGAGATAAAGTAAAACAAATGCGGAAATTTAGAGAATTACCCAAGTGGTTAGATGTTCCAGTTGACACGATTGGTCCTATTATCGGGGGAATGGAAGCGACATCAGAAGGCAAAGAAACTCCCTAGACAGGGTGATCATTCAAGACAAAACCACGAGAGAAGCCAAAGATCACTTTTATTTAGCTTCACAGTTCAGTAGCAGAAAGCAGATAAAGGTGAACTAGTCAACTGGATCATGTGGGAGGGAAGCACGCAAGACGCTTCCCTAAAAAGAAGCAAAGGCACATCTAGAGTTTACCAAAAAGCATAAAAACAGCTAATTTGTGTCATGGGATCAGATTGCAGTCAGATGAGACCATGATGGAGCGTTTTAGTCTGAATTCAGTGTGCATGCCCACCTCATACACTCGACAGTTGATCATTCGTTTATAGTTCATTCGTTCTGGCCTGTGATAATTGTGACATATTGCCTGTATTTTCTGCTTTATTGTGTTGAAAAGTTCTGGATAAAGCATCCCATTTGGCCTCTAAATCATTAATAATCTGAAATAACCCGCAGCATGATCTGAAATATCCTCCATGTTGTGCTTTCACCCTATTTTAGATTCTAGACATTGATGTATTTGTGTAATTTTGAAAGAATGAAACCGTTTAAGGTGAATATTAAGTCAATATGTGTCTCACGTCTCTATCCTGGCCATAATGGACATCACATGGGATTTCTCCATGAACATCAAAAACTCTCACCCCAATCAGGGTGAATGTATGTTCATTCTAATCCTCATTTATCAGACAGTGTGATCCTGGATGAAGTCTGTGTTATTGTTCTGCCAGGGTTTGCTGAGTAGAATGAATATGTCCTAACCTGAAAGGTCCTGGCATGCCAAATAGGAGCCCACCTCAGACACACTTATGCGTTCTGCCCAAGGCCTCCAACTCTAAAGTTGTGCTTTTCATCACCTCTCAAGTCCCCCTGGTCTTCGTACTTAGGGACTTACTGTGCTCTATAGGACCAGCGCCAGATATGTGAATCGATTTTTCACACAGATGATCAATGGTTCTTCAGGAGGCCTTGAAAGCAGGTCTTGATACTGGACTTGATGTGCTCCATAAGGACGTAAGACACACATTTGGCTCCCTGAAAATGCTCTGTTTTGTATGTGTCAGACATATCCGATGATTGATCTGCTCACAGCTTAAACTGTGAAGTGTTGTAAATACAATTAGAAAGACCACCTTGAAGCTGGGGAAGGGCAGAGCCACGTCAAAAGTTGATTCTGGTAATGATTAGAATGATTAGAAGCCTTTTAGGATGAAGAAAAAAATATAATATGTTAAATAATCTTGGATGAACATCAGAAACTTTAAATCCAAGGCACTTCACTTTTGCTACCAATTTTTTCTTCTTCTTCTCTACATTTATTTAAACTAACTAACTAACTAACTAACTATGCCTATGTTTGTAGTACAAAAAGCACATACATTGTTCAAAGGATTGGGGTTAGTAAGATTTCTTCTTCTTTGAATGAAATAAAGTAATTCTATCAATTAAATTGATCAAAAATTTTAGTTACATTTACAGTGTTACAGAATATTTTTTTTAACATTCGGTTCATTGTAAAATACAGAGAAAAAGAAAGATCTAAATATTGTATTATACATGTGTGTTAGTCTATTAAAACATCATACCATCTTAAATGTTAAATATTGTATTATGTATATTAGAGATGGAGAGAGAGAAAAAGTGAAAGACAGAGAGAATTGAACGCTCAGCTGCTTGTGCTTTGACAATGCAATCTTTTGGATAATGCTTCTGTTTGGTCTTGAAGTCGTTTTATGTGGCAGGCTATACTCTAGAACTGCGGCCAAGCAAAATTAAACTCCTGAAATATAATGAGCATATCCCCCCGTTATAATGGTTGCTATGCCCTTGTTCATATGTAAATGATTTCAGACTTACACCTGTATCATTAGCTCTATAAAAGAGACTGATGCAGAATACATGTCCTCCCACTTTAGCGGTACTTTTACCAAATATAGTGCGGAGTCCCAAACTGTGTTTGCACCATGACAGCCTTTGGCTTCCCTGTTATATTTTCCTCTATCTTCATCCATTCCCCTCTATCACTTTAAAGGCATGCCCATTGCCTGTCCTCCTCCACCTCTGATGTTGCCCTGTCCAAGTTAGACTTCAGACACGTTGTAGCTGTTAAAGCAGAAAAGAACATGATGTTATATCAAGTCCAAATGTGGAATTGTGAAAATGAGATTGATGAGGAGATGATCATAGAGATCATAGTCTTACTCCAAGCCAGATACGTATGGGTGTTTCTATATTTTCCTCTTTAGCGGCAGAGGTAACGTCTTGTTCTTTACAAGCCTTCGATTAAAAGGTGGCCAGAATCAGTAACTTTTCAGCATTTTCTGGAAGGTTCTGAATGTGCTCCACAGGCTGAAAAAAGTGATTATGATACCTTATCTGATTTTGAAGCTGTCATAGGAAACATGTGAGGGATTTTCTCATCTCATACATGCAAGGCCGCATTAAGACTGCACTGGGCCCCGGGGCTATGACTTACTGCAGGGCCCCCCATTACAATAATTATATATATATATATATATATATTTATAGAATCCTTGTTTTGTGATTTGGCTCTTTATATTTTCAGTGTCCCAAGAGCAGCTGAAACAGCTTGTTAAATTTTGGGTTGGATGGGAGATACCCATGGCTAGCATGAAAGTGGAGGTGGTTCGAGCGGAATATCCCACTTCATCCACATGCTTCCGCACCCTTCGCTTACCTGGTTACTACAACAGTTTCAGAGAATTTAGTGTTCATTTAGACAACTGCATTGCCACAAATGACAGTGGATTTGGATTGTTGTAGAAAGTGGAAAGCTCTGAATTCACAAGTTATTTCATTAAATTTTGTTTTCTATTGAATTGTAACTTAATAATTAAGATTCTAAACATTGTTGAATATCTAAGCATTCATCAGTTATTCATTGTTCCCTGATGTTGAAATGTTGGCTTTTATTGAAATGGTTTAGAGTTGTACTTGACATTTGAACTAATGTATTTACAATAAACATGATTAAAAACAAACATGAAGTTGTGTTTGTGATTGCATGGATAATTAGAGTTCATACTGATAACTCTACACATAGCCAATGCTGTGCATATAGCCCACTGCAGCTAAATATCTATCTATTCCCATGCATGTTGCATATATATATATATAGCTTTAAATAGGAGTGTTATACCATATCAAAATTCTTGATGCACTGAAATTTCATAATTTTTGCTACCAATTTCAATATCACAAAAAATAATACTAGCCTAAGTAAAAATAAGATTACTGAAGACAAGTAAACAGTCACAAATTAGGCTACAACAGAAAGATCATAAAAAAACGGCCTACTTGAATAACTTAAAGCACTGAATAATAAATATATTGTATAAAGAAAATGTACAAATAGACTGAAAAGTCTTCACTGTATAAATTCAATATACATTCATTCTTATTTATTTTACAAAAGTGATTTTCAAAAATGCAGTCAAGGAGAGTAAGTGATTTTCTTTCTGATGTTTGATTTACATTATTGACACAAATCGCAACAACAGCTAGGCTATATTAGGCTGCTTTAGAGGAATAGTTCACCCAAAAATTCTGTTGTTGTTCTAAACCTGTATGCGATTCCTTCTGCTGTTGGATGCAAAATAATTTGAAACAATACTGGTAATCAGACAGTTGCTGGGCCTCCATGACTTCCATAGTATGAAAAAAATACACTATTGGAGTCAATGGGGACCAGAAACTGGTTGCGATCATTTTTCAAAATATCTTCTTTTATGTTGAGGAGAACAAAGAAATTCATAGAGGTTTAGAACAATTTGAGTTTAAGTATATGATGACATTATCTTCATTTTTGGGTGAACTATCCTCTTAAGATCTCATCATATAGGCTAATCCAGGATCTCATATAGCCTAACACACATGCTTTATCTTTAACTATGAACGTTCATTTAATAAGACACAAATAACTGTGTTTACGAGGATACTCGCAAAGATGAATTTTTGACACATAACTGTGTATTTGAATGTTTAAGCACAAGGAGCGAAAAGTTTAGTCAGTCGCAATACGAGCAGGTGCGTGCTGCGCAAATCAGGCTGAAACCGTCTTAATGCGCGCATTTACCAGAATGAATTCTGCCCCACTGCTTAATGTTCATTAACAGTTTAAACCATTTTGTTTTAAAACCTGCTTAAAACGCGTTTAAATGATAAGTTTAGCCTACATCTTGACACGCAAAACGATTGATATATTTCTACCGGATTGTCTCCCAATCCTTAAATGAATATATAGAGTTTGTTCAAACACAAAAACAATATAGGCTACATC